GTAAAAAAAAAAAAACCTTCCAACATGTTCAAATAAAAACTTCTCACGCTTTTGGCAAGTTAAACGAGTTCCATTTTTTTTTTTTTTGCAAGAACAATTTATGAAAATGAGCAATGCGAGGGAAAGAAGTCTCAAGAGCGCCGTGGCTGTTCTTGAAGAGGGGGGGGGGAGGGGAGGGGGGGTTGTTCGGAAAGTGGATCTGGCGGCATTTAAATCGCGGTGTTTTTATTGGTAATTGTGTTTTTTTTTCTGAATGTATGTATGTAGGTTTGTATGTAGGTATGTGGGTATTTGTTGTTATCGTTGTTCTTTTTCTTTCTCCTCATTTTTTCTTTGTTTTCTTTTGTTGTTTTATTGTTATTGTTGTTTTTTAATTATTTTTTATGATGATGATGATAATAATAATGATAATAACAATAGTAATAATAATGATTATTATTATTATTATTATTATTATTATTATTATTATTATTATTATTATTATTATTATTATTATTATTATTATTATATTAGAACGTTCGTGTTGGTGCTGCTTTTATTTTTTTTAACAAAATGGAGTAAGATGTCAAGACTAATAATGTTTCCGTGATGTATGCTTTTGATGTATGTTTTTTTTTCTTTTTCCATTCTCATATAATATCTCATAGTGTCTGGAAAAGATAATTGAATTACCAGATTTCAACACGAAAAAAAAAATGGGTAAAAATAAAAATAAAGTCAACAATTTTTTATCGCGTCTCCTCGATGGTGAAAGTTGCGGCGTTTGGTTGCCGAATTGCAAGGTGAGAAGTACCGGTGTCGGTGTCAGTGTCAGTTGCAAATGACAAGTTGTGCATTGTTTATGTTGGGTATGTTACCTTGGCGGGATTCTTGGCGAGTTATTTCTTCTTCTTTTTCTTCTTCTTCTTCGTATTATTATTGTTGTTATTATTCTTGTTGTTGTTGTTATTGTTATTATTGTTATTATTGTTATTATTATTATTATTGTTATTGTTATTGTTATTGTTATTATTATTATTATTATTATTATTATTATTATTATTATTATTATTATTATTATTATTGTTATTGTTATTGTTATTGTTATTATTATTATTATTATTATTATTATTATTATTATTGCTGTTATTATTTTTTTCTTTTCTTTTCGTTTTTTGTGTGTTATGTGATAACAAGATTTAGTTCCCATTTTTTGTGTGTGTTTTGTAAGTGACGTGAAAGGCATAGTTTTATTTTGTATTTGCGTATTATTATTATTATTATTATTATTATTATTATTATTATTATTATTTATTTGTTTTAATTATTTTTATGAAGATCGTATAATGGCAGAGCATAAGTCATGTTGAATGTTGACTGCAGACATGTGTATAATTAGTAGTTGAGAAAAAAAGAGAGAAAAAAATAGCGTTAACAATTAATGTGCGCATTAGGCAAGCGCAAATTGCCCATTTGGGGGAATTACGAAGTCACACACGCGCGCTACTGGTGTTACGGAGGCCAGGGGAACGGCTGCCTCGGTCTTGTGGACGGTCGGTTGGTTGGTCTGTCTGTTGGTTGGTTTGTTGGTCGGTCTCTTGGTCGGTCGGTTGGTTTGTTGGTCGGTCTGTTGGTCTGTTGGTTGGTCTTTTGGTCTGTTGGTCTTTTGGTCTGTTGGTCGGTCGGTTTGTTGGTCTTTTGGTCGGTCGGTTTGTCGGTCTCTTGGTTGGTCTTTCGGTCGTTCGGTTTCTCGGTCATTCGTTCGATCTGTCGGTCCTTCGGTCGGTTAGCGTTTGTCCGGTCTTCCCGTTACACCCGATCGGACTTAACGAGACAAGGATTTATTAATCGCTAATCTGTAGCTGGCAGGAAATGGGGACTTCCGGCGGGAGATTATAATTGTTTGGAGAAACTTTTTTTTCGTTCATTTCGGTGGGTAATTTTTGTCGATTTGTTGTTTTTGTTTTATTGTTTGTTTTCCCTTTCCTCCTCCTCCTCCTCTCTCTCTCTCTCTCTCTCTCTCTCTCTCTCTCTCTCTCTCTCTCTCTCTCTCTCTCTCTCTCTCTCTCTCTCTCTCTCCTCTACTTCTTTCTCTCCTCTACTTCTTTCTCTTCCACCTTTCCCTGTTCCTTCATGCGCGAGAAGAGTAAGAGTTTATATTTTATGAAACTTTCTCTCGTCGGCTTCGAGTGTCGCCGGAGACTTGGGTGAGAAGAAGAGGAGGAAAAAAGGAAATAAAAACCCGCCCACATTCCAGAAAATGTCACATGTCGGTAAATAGAACCGGCAGCCCGCTCGCACACGCACGCACACGCACGCACACGCACGCACGTACACGCACGCACATTCACAATCACACATTATGCCGTCACAGTCACAGATCAGCAAACGCACAATCGGTCTCACAGTCTTAGGTTAAAAATCACACAATCACAAAATTAGTGTCACAATCATTCTCAGTCACAAATCACGCAATCACACAATCAAGTCTCACAAAATCGCGCAGTCATTCAGTCACTCCATCTCACAATCACAAATCACTCAATCACAATCACGAATCGTTCACTCAATCAATCTCACAATCCCTAATCACGCAATCAATCTCACAATCACTGTCCAACCACGCCATCTCCCCAACCATGGATCACGCCATCGCACGATCGTAAATCACGCAATCACAGGCGCGCGTCCCCCTGTCCAAACAACGCCCGGCGCTAATAGAGGCTGGGGGGGGGGGGGGTATCGGCGCTTCGGACATTTTTCATGCGTCGGTCGCGGGGTCGTTATCGGGGGCGAAAGGGGCGGCTGCGCTTGGGTGGTTCGTTGGTTTGAGGGGGCGTTGTAATATTATTGTTGTTATTGTTATCATCATTATTGTTATTGTTTTTATAATTATTGTTACTTTTATTATTATTGTTACTATTATTATTATTATTATCATTATTATTATTATTATATTTTATATTTTATATTTTACTGTTAATATTACTACTAATAATAATGATAATGATAATGATATAGCAATATTAATAGTAATAATAATAATAATAATATTATTATTATTATTATTATTATTATTATAGTCGTTGTTATTATTGTTATTTTATGATCATTTTTGTTATTTAATTCATGCTATTCTTATTTTTAACCAGTAAATAATATTTTCCTCTGGGTGGGGGCGTGTTCCGTTTTTCTTCCTTCTCTGGAAAGCGCCGTGAGTGATTTCAACGCTGGACGTCCTGCAAGTTATCCTGGGCGGGGGGGGGGGGGGGGGTTGGATTCACTTGGTTCTTCGGGTTCTGTTCTCGTTTGGTTTCATC